ATGAAAACAGATTTTAAGTCTTAATCATATTATTATTTTATTTTTCACAAATCTTTACTCTCATCCTAAAATATTTATAAACAATTGTAACATGTTAAATAATTTCCTCCTTCTAACTAATTAGGCGGAATCAAGTTGGTAAATTAATATTTACCGATGGTTTTTACACTTTCATTTAGTTATATAGAAAATTAAGTAAGATTTTAATCCTAAAATAATTTACCATTTAAGAGATAATGATCAGCTACATTAAATATTTTTACTAATCGCCAGATAATAAAATTAAATATATTAACTATTCTTTAAAATCTCAACATGTTATTTATTTGTATATTATGTGAACCATGATAATTGTTTTATCATTTTTTTATGTTGGTTTCTTTACATAATGAATTTATTGTAAAATATATTTTCATTGCTTATAAATAAATAATAAAGTCATAGGATGCAAATTATAAAAACCTCTTAATTATATAAGGAAATTATTTTTCGAGAATTGCTAATCAAAATTTTATATTTATCATGAGAAAATTAAATTCCGAAAAACATGTGTGTGTATTTTGTAAATATTTATACAGATATTTATTTTATATTTATTCAAATAAATTTAAATTAATTACATTAATAAGTAATATTTATATGAATTAAATTTATATAATTCATGAATTAAGAAGAGGAAGTAGACTACTTCTATAACTTTTATAAATAATAAAATGAAATTATATGAAAATAGATTTTATAAAATAATAATTAATAATTTTATAGTGAATAAAAATAAGTAATACGGATATTTTTTATATATCAATGAATAAATATATATTATAAAACTAAATTTATATTAGTATAACGTGATTTTTTTTCCCGAAATGATAGAGGTACTATATTAACATGATAATTAATATAACGGAATAATATATATATTATCATGTTAATGTTTGGGCTAAAATAAACATCACTGATTAAAAGATATGGAAATGAATGATTCGACCCTATTATTTTTTGTGCCAAAACGATCAAGCCTTATGAAAAATGACTCATTTATTATATATGTCCCTTGCATCGAAGGGGCTCTGTATTAGTTTATGTCAATTAAGTTTTAAAATATAAACCTATCATTTATACACATTCTAAATGAATATAGAGGTAAATTATTATAATCCTACTGATATAGTTGACATTCAACAACCGATAATATGGAAATAAAATTTTAAACCTAGTTTTCTATGTATAAGAAAGATAATCTTAAAGCAGAATCATAAATTGAACAAACTTTCCTCTTAATTGTTTTAGATGTCAACAAGTGTACCACTAAGAGCATCTCCAATGCATAAATGTTGTTATTACATAAATTCTGACATATGTCAATTAATTATATAAATTGTGAACCACATAAGATAATTGTTAAGTTCACACCTTTAAATCTAAAAAATTATAACCAATCAACAATGTAATCAAACACAATATTGTCTTTGTTTTTTGCAACGATAGAAGAATCTCATAATAAATAAGTGTTTTACAAACTGAGGGTTTGGGGTGTGCATAATTCTACTAAAACCGAAAAAACCGACCGAATCAAAAAAATTTGTTCGGTTTTTATCCGACTCGTTCGGTTTCGGTTTTAGTCGAATGATTTTTCGATTATTTCGGTCGGTGTCGGTTTTCGGACATTTGCAAACCAACCGAATAATATGTATGTATATATATATATATATTTATATATTATATTTTATATATTATAATAATATATATTAATTATATTATATATGTATTTTAAAATGTATAGTTCGGTCGGTTTGACCAAACCGACCGAAAACGACCAAGAAGTTCGGTTGGTTAATGTCTGGTTTAATTGATAATTCGGTCGGTTTCGGTTATTGGCATAGTATGGTTCGGTTATTTCGATTTTCCTAATTCAGTTTGATGATGCATACCCTTACCGAGGGGCAAACTAGCCCAACCAACACAAACAACAAATAGAGGGCCACTCAACAATTGCCCTAGAACTACAAAAATAGCCAACAAAATAAAGAACACAACTAAAGAGAAACAAACTAAAAAGATAGAAAAGAAACAACAATTACAATCCAGCTCCAAACGGCTCCAACAATAGAGACTTGAAGCTAGAAGAACCATCAACACAGGAAAGAGACACACAACACAGGACCAACCAAACACAACCACAAGGGAGGAGTATCACTAAACCCAAGGACCTAGCAACTACCAACCTTGCACCCATACCATAGCTTAGCATCTAGCAGCATTGAACTTTGTCCAATCTCTTAAAGTTGAGTTCACCACCACTACTTCAGGCAACAAAATGTGTTGAAATTTCCACAAGTTTCTTGATTTCCACAACCACCAGAGTATATATGTAGTTAATTGAATTCTCTCCTTTAATGTTTGCTTTCTATCAATAGAACAGATATTTCCGCACCACAGTTTAAAATTTACTTTAAAATTATCTACTCCATCCATTTAAAGGGTGCAATCTTCCAGATTTTCTGAGCCCTGGAACAAAGAAAGAATATGTGTTTAATAGATCCCACATACTCCCCACAACACTGACAAATGGGATCAACTTCCATTCCTCTCTTTTACAAATTCAAGCTGACAGACAGAACATTATTAAAACATTTCCTGATAATATTTCAGTTTTCCTTTAATTTTCAAGCCCAACTCCTTCTTCGAACTTTCATGTCCCAATCAGCTGAAATACTTCCCTCTGATATGTCCAGTTCTCTAAACTTTTTTCTTGATGATACTAGAATAAGCCTTTGAGACTGAAAACAAACCTTGCGACAATATGTGTCAAGGTACACAAAGGAGTGTGTAGAGGTTCCTTTGGCTTCGAAAGAGATCAAAGCTGGGGGACATACAAGAGGATTGAGGCCTTGGAAATGTAGGGATTCGTTGCCAAAGAGACCGGCCAGATCTTTTAACGAGCTCCTAGAGAGGTGTAGCAAGCATGTCAATATGGAAGAGGCGGAAGTTGATTTTCTCCAGAATGATAAAACAAAGGTGAAATAGTTGGATGAGAAACCCCATCAGGGTGAGCGCCGGGTGCAATAGAAGGAGGCGAGTACAGAATACCGATTCAGAGGTCCAAGGTATGAGGATTATGATCCTCTTAACGTGTTATAGGAAGAGATTCTTGAAGTGCTGGAAAGGCAAAGAGAGACGAAGCTACTCGCGCAACCAAAACCTTTACCCCCACCATGGAAAGGTTTCTTTGTAGGGAAGTATAGGTATTGTTGGTACCACCGCGATTATGGCCATTGCACTAACCGCGGAAAGGTTACGATGTAAGTGTTGAGAATTTGATGTTGTCTTATGGAAAACATTTTGAGAATTTGATATTGCATGACTTTGGGATTATTGTGATGCATTACATTTGCCTTTGAACAGTTTGATTCTATATCTTTTGACAATTATTTTAATTTAACGTATTATTTAATGTGGTAAATATCTTGCGACGAATATTTTAATTCTTCTTTTTACTTTTTTGAAATTTTTATATTTGAAGTCGAGTTCTCTTGCCAACACAAGAGAAGAGGTAATTTTCCCCTTTTCTTATGAACTTTCCACCCGTTTTAACCGGTCAGTCGTCAGTCATAGACAGCTGACTAACGGTTTGTACCAAAAGTGATAGAGAGAGGGTACATAAATTGATTAAATGAATAGTAAGGGTATCAAAAGTGAAAAGCGAGTATAATTAGAGTACTCAGCCGCGCGCCACCGCGAGTAGACCTGTCCCAGGCGCGCAGCACCGCAGCAGTCCGCGCAGACCCCCCGCAGCACTCCCAACGACCCGCAGAGCGCGTAGGTAGGCGGGCAACCCGCGACATTGTCGCGCATTCCGCGCGCTCCTCTGCAGGCATGAAGTCTGCGTCTCCTCACAGCTTCAGCCCGCGAAGCTCGCGTCCCAGCCTGCACGCCCGATGCCAGCCCGCGCGTCTTCAGAGCTTAGCTTATGGCCCGACAGTAGCCCAGTGACGTCCAGCGGCCCAGACGCGCACAGACCAGGCCTGGGCGTGCCCAGCGTGCACAAACCCGGCCCAGGTCGCATCTAGCAGTCCAACTCGGCCCAGAACTGGTTCAGCTCGGTCCAGCAGCGGTCAAGGAGTCCCCACAAGCCCACGTCGAGTCTCGAGAGGTTTGACCAAATTAACGGAGGTTGGAGATGATCCAATGTTGATGGTGAGCAACCGGTGACTTGAGACGAGCGACAAGGACGAGGTCCGATGATGGTGATGCCTAGTCCGGCTGTCCAACGGACATGAGACTCAGACGATCTCCAGCAACGAAATAAAAAACGTCTCATAGTCGGCAAAATTAAAAACGGTACGCGTTGAACCCTCGCTTATATAGCTTCGCTGCGCTTAGGGTTTAGTTCGTAGTTAGTCCGTAACTTGCATGATTTCGACGATTCTCACAAGATCCCAACACCAGTATACACACTAACATTCTTTTCTCTGAACAAAATAATCTAACTAAGATGGTGGTAATTGTGATGCTAAAGACTATTGTTGAGATTCGCATTATATACATAAAGCTAACACATGTTGAGCTATATGTTTTGCATGTTATTGTATAATCATAAGTAAACAATCGGAAACCACATTCACAATTCATTGCTATATTGCTTTTCTAGCCAATTTTGATGCATTTCTAAAAGTCAAATATTGAAAACCAAAAAAACAACACCGCTAAAGCATCATGCTGGTTTAGGGTGCTGCCTATGAAGTTGAAATAATCAAGGAGCATGGGAAAAAGTTGATGAAAAATGGTGTTGTGAGCGAAATTCTTGAAGACAATGTCAATCGTGAGGGGTTTAGATGCATGGTCACACTTCTTCCAAATGATGAGGTTATTGGTTGCAAGGTTACGATATAGGTGCTGAGAATTTAATGTTGTCCTATGGAAAATATTTTGAGAATTTGATTTAATGTGGTAAATATCTTATGGCAGATATTTTATTATTTTATTTTTTTCACATTTCAGAAATTTTTAAACTCAAAGTCGAGTTCTCTTGCCAACACAAGATAAGAGGTAATTTTCTCCTTTTCGTATGAACTTCCTACCTGCTTCAACCGGTCAGTTGTCAGTCAAAGACGGTTGACTTTAACGGTTTGTAACAAAAGTGATGGCCATGCCATAAAGAGGGTACATAAACTGTGGATAGTAAGGGTACCAAAGTGAAAAGCCATTAAAGTTAGGGTACTAAAACTACATTTTTCCCGTTAAAAACTCCATCCAAATGGTTTCCACAGCCATGACAAGAAAGTACAATTTTTCACAGGCTCAGGCACACTCAAACAAAGCAACAGAAATGCAAGTCAGACTATAATTACCCCCACACATTCATCAAATCGTATAAACCGTGCCAACCTCCAAAAGCGCCGCCTTCGGGATATTCAGCGCCACGCGCGGCTCCCGCGCATTATTATCAAGAAACACGTAACCCATAATCAACAACCTCTTCAACAGATTCGACCCTTTCATAGGCAGCACGTGCGACTTCCCCATGATATACGCAGTCCCACTCTCCCTCGCCATCACAATCTCCTCCAGCTCCTCCCGCGCAGCCGGGCCCACCTCCGGGCTCTCCCGCGGCACCACAAACCTCACCCTCTTATTCCCGCCCACCAACAAACTCTTCCGCGACTCGCTCACTTCCAAAACCGGGGACAAAGTCCCAACCTCACTCGCCACGTATTCCCCAATCGAGCTTATAATCCGGTCCTCGAAATCGTCCGTGTCCCGCACCCCGTCCCGATACCCGTACCGCACGACGCACCGATAAACCCTGCGCTCGGGCGGGCCCACGCGCCCGACGAGGTAGCGCCCGTCCTCCGGGACGTGCGGCACGGGGAAAGATTTGAAGGTGACGAAAACGAGCACGCGGTGGAAGGCGGGCAAGTTGGTGACGAAATGGGAGAAGAATGCCGGGATTCCGGACTCCACCTCGGAGTAGACGAAGCCGATGCCCGGGACGCGGGAGATGCCGAGGCTTGGGGAGAGGTCGGTGAGCCACTCGACGGGGACCTTGCTGTGGAGGTCGAACTCGTGTTTCTTGAGGGTGCCGTAGTGCCACGTGGCCATGAGGGAGATGAAGAGGGAGAAGAGGGCGAGGAGGGCCCACGAGCCGCGGAAGAAGCCCGTGAGGAGGGTGGTGAGGAAGTATGCGGTCTCGATTGAGCCGAAGAGGAGGAGGAAGAAGAGGGACGAGAGGAGGTTGTGCTCCCAGTAGAGGGCGATCACGAGGGACATCAGGCATGTCGTCACGAGCATGCCGCCGGTGATGGCCAGGCCTTGCGGAAAAAAAAAAAATTAAACTAATCAATGATAGTTTGAATAAAAATGAATGTAAATGTATCCGATGACATCTTCAAGGAAACAATAATTTCTTGTTGTTTTGTTGCTTTTGGCTACTGTTTGCTTGCACTAAATACAATTACTATATTTTTCACTTGAATAGAATTTTTTCGGATGTAAGAGAATCCGAATGTGCAAAGTGGAGTTGAGACTTGATTGGCTAGTGGCTACCTTATTGCTTGAAATTTGAGTTTCATAAATGTTGTTGTTTTATCAAAAAACTAAGAGGGAGTGAACGCGTAAAGGAACCTCACCAGTTGCTTTTCCAAGTTGTGCGACATCATGGAAGCCGATGGTGATTGCTAAGCTCAAAGTCATGAAGAGCCAATTGGCATCTGGAACGTAAACTTGGCCGAGTATTTTTTTCGAAGTGTGGACGACTTTCACTCTGGGAAAACAGTTGAGGGCTTGACACTGGTTTATGATAGAAAAACCAGCAGTAATGGTCGCTTGACTCCCAACGGCTGAAGCAAACAGCGACAAAATGGCAAATACATGCTGAAGGGTCTCTGAGAAGGTTGTTTTTGTTTTTTTCAGTTTGTTATAATTAGGAAGTGTTCATTCATAATCATAGGTGAGTTGACAACATGGAATGAAAAGAATAAAAAAAAAAAAGGAAAAGGAATGAAAAAAGTTAAAAATCGTACTATTAGGTATCGATTCACTGAGATGGACAGCTTCGGGGGTGCTAAGATAATTGGAGAAATATGCACATTGACCGGCATAAGTCAACACAAGGAAAGGATAGATAAAGCATATGAAGGTAACCTGCAACAAACAAATGATCAGCAGCTGTGAAAGAAACTTTACTTGTGTACCATACTATTAGTACCTTAATAGATCTCTTTGAAAAATGACCAAGATCTGCATACATTGCCTCCGATCCTGGTTACATATTCAACAAATAATCATCATCATCATCATCATAACCATAAATGAGCTATGTTTAGTTAGAGTATTACCAACCTGCAATGCATAAGACTATGCTGCTTAGTAGCTTCCAGTGCCTAAAATTAGCTTTCTTTATGAACCTCAGCAAGTATAGTGGCGAGACTGCGCGCAGTATTTGGGTATCAAAATGGATGATATTGTAAAGACCGAACCCACTAATGAAGAAAAGCCATATGATGACTATTGGAGCAAATATGCACCCGATTTTCTTTGTCCCGTGCTGCTGCAAAGTGAAGAGGCAAACTAAAATGGCACATGCAGCAGGAGTTGGAACATCTGGATTTGTCGTCAACTTAAAAAGGTCAGAAGGTTGAAAATATTGATGAGTAGTTAATGTATGAAATGAAAATTGAAGCAGCAAGTTCGATTGTGATTTTACAAGGGATTTTTTATTCAGACCTTAACATGATCATTAAAATGATCAAAAATAAATTTCAAACAAAAATTATAACTAGAAATCATTATAACTGAATATTTGAAGTTGCAAACTTACATTTCTTCATGATATTTGCCACATGATCTTTGGTGTCATCTGAAGATAAAACTGGTAAAAATAGTGAATGCCACTTTTAGTTCGTTACAAGTTGTGAAAAAGAAAAAGAAAACCACCCAAAAAGAACAAAATTGCTACAATTGACTGAAAAATCTTACATTTAGCAGAGATTTTCGCAAATGAGCGACCAAGACCTGACGTCGCTGACAATACTAGAGATTCCCACAAAGAAAATTGACACGAGTTGTTTAGTCAATCAACTATAAACACTAATCAATATATAAAAA